GATATATAAGGACACTTATTTATATATCTAGTTTAGTTCTTCGTCTTTAATCATATATTATTACTTATATTTACCTTTAGATTACTATAACTCTTTACTTGATTATAACTTAATAATACTTACGAGTAGACTAATACCCCGGTATAGATCTACTCGGCGCTCTACCTAGTATTAGTTCCTTAATCGCTTAATAGGACTTAGGCTATAGTAAGGCCCTACGCGGTAATAGCTTAGTTACGATCCGATTATTAACGTTAGACCATTCGAGGAGTATTAGGGCAAGTATACCCTGAACCCATCTAACCTAACTGTGACCAGTTAGCTAGTGCGTAACAATATAGTACTAGAGAAAGAGAGAGAGATTATTAAGATCGATATAATAAAAACTATAGTCTCTAGCTAGCTATAAAATCAATTGAATTTATAAGCGATATATCGTTTAGAGATAATAAGGATAGGAAAAGCTCCGAGGGTTATATTTGTAATCTATATAGGGGCCCTATAGATTAGAAAGTAACTAAGTAGAAGATAGTAACTACGTCGACTATAGAGGTAAACCTACTAGCTCTAGCCGAGGTAGGCAAAACTATATAGTAGTAGCGTCGAGTCCTCTCTATATTAGGCTTCTAACCTAACCACCTACTATCTATTATATATAATAACTAGCAAACTATCGATTTATTAATAAAGGAAGGGGTAGCGATATATACGAAGCTCCGATATATTAATATTAATCGTTACTAGATAAAATAGGAGGTTAGTGAGGGTCGAGTCAATATTAACTAGGTTCTAACTACGGCTATACTAGTAGATGGCCTTACGAAAGCGCTTCCGAGATAGAAGTAGTATCTCTTTAGAGAGCTGATTAGGATAAGAGAGATCAGTTATCTAATCCGAGAAATAGAGGCTGTTTGAAGAAAGTGTAGAAATAAAGGAATTAATAGCTCTTAAAGCTAGAGAAATGTAGGCTTTAAGAACTAGGGGGTATATCGAATACTAAGTCCGAATATATAGTAGAAACTAGGTAATATACCGGAAACATCATATGACATTGGGTACCAGGCATACCATACAAAAGTGTATATTATAGTTAGTCATCATGGTCCGCACAGATTGTTGAAATAGCGGGTTTTGTCATTTTAGTTAGTTAGAGTTGTCAACATTGGTCATTTATACCATACATTGTTCGTATAACGTAACCGGTAAGCGAGCCGCCACTGTAAGCGAGCCGCCACCCTACCCAAAACGCGTCCAGGAATTAGATCTCTATTAGTTCAACCACCTACCATGCCACCAATTCGCTCTCAATCCTCTAAAAATCCAACAGAGTAAGAGGGTAGGCTTTTATTAGATATCTAGGCCTTTAAAAATAGAGATATTAGCTCTATTTCTCTTACTACGCGTATATTCAATGTCCCACGGTCAACTTTACGCGACCGCCTTAACGGCTATACCGAACGAAGCACTATACGCGCCAATTCATATAAATTGATAGAGATTAAAGAGGAGTCTCTTTAAAAATAGATTCTCTCTATAGATCTACGTAGAGTAGCCCCCCGGCCCTCTATAGTACGAGAAATAGTAGATCTTCTTCTTTAAAAGCGTAGAACTACCCCGGTCTATTTAGTCGGCGAAAAATAGGTATATAATTATATAAAACGGTATCCTCTCCTTTCCTCCCGATTCTCGAAACGATATAACTACGAGCGTACGAAATATAAAGACCCTAAAATTATTAAGGGGTAGTTTAATCTTATTTAAAAAACTATCCTTTAATTTAGGATCGACCCCGACGATATCTATAACTTCGACAAGACCGGTTTCGTAATAGGATTAACTATAACTACGAAGGTTATTATAAGGAGTAAATACTACGGTCGGAGGCCGGTTTTATAACCTAGAAATTAAGAGTAGGTAACTATTATTAAGTATACGAATACTTCTAGCTAGGCCCTTCCTCTATATATAATTTTTAAAGGTAAAGTCTTTATTAAATTATAGTTCGATAGCCTCCTAGAGGATTAGCGCTTCGAAGTTAGTCCTAATAGCTAGACTTCCGATAAAATTAGCCTTTGCTAGCTTAAAAAGCTCTTTATTCCTAGTACTTCTTTATATACGAAGGGGGGGTATCGACTTTTAATACTCGATAGCTATAGAAGTTATTTAACCCTAAGGTTCGATAAAATCTATAAAGAAAATAAGATTATACTAATCTATATACCTCTGTACTCCTCTTACCTTTTATAACCTCTTAATATCGGCTATTTTACGGTATTAAAACGTACGTATAGTCGGATAGTTAAATTTAAGATATAGAACCGGATCAACTATATCGATAAACTTAACTTCCTCGAAGTATACCCCCTCGTACGAATTAAAGCTTTTAAATCGGAGACGATTAAAAATAGCTTTATAGTAGCCGGTTTAGTACTATTTAGACCTAACCGAGTGATTTTAAAGCTTAATATCCGGCTTCGAACCCCGACCCCCCCTCCGAGCCGGGGTAGTAATTAGGACCCCTAAACCCTATCGAACTATATCTAATTACAAAAGCAAGCTTTATCAATTAAAGCATTGCTTCGTATAAGATCAAGGAGCCCTCTAAGTCCTCTCAATTCCGCTATAAACCAGGTCTTAAAGGTATACTAGATCACTATATAGTCCGCCGTATTTCTCGAGAAGTAAGCGAATTACGCGCCGCTAACGAGAAGTAGAAGCAAAAGCGTACTAGATCCTAGAGGCAGATACCCGCTAAAGAAGGCCTCTTAGTTTAAGAAGCTTCTCAATTGATTACTAAGCCGGTGGAAGTAGATAAAGTGCCTCTCCCCCGCCGGTAGAGACGGCTCTCGCCACCTTTACAGCCACGAACGAGAGCATTACCAACATGCGGGTTTTGCAAAAACCAGGGTCATAAAAGAAATGCATGTCCAGAGAATAGATCATTTTAGTCTATTTAATTTAATAGCGTTATGGTTGAGATAAATGCAATTGAATGTAATGGGTTTGGGTAGGGTGGCGGCTCGCTTACAGTGGCGGCTCGCTTACCGGTTACGTTACCAGCTTTCCGTCAGCTTCCCCAAAACTTCAAGACGAACGATGTCTCCTTCTAGAACACATCGCCCCAGATATCTTTGGTTGGTGCTACGAGTACGCCTATACAAAGAACTACACATTCATTTTTTCTCGAGGCCGGGAATCGACACCGAAACAACCAATTTGTCTGCAAGACTTCGGATTTGACGGTCCATTTGCTGTCGTGATCCCTCCGTATCAGATCGATAGACTCCACCGTTCTGACTTGGCCAATCTTATCGACCATTCTTTTATCCATTCCTTTGCAAGCAATTACCAGTGGGAGCAGTTGCATCTGCATTCTGTCTTCCGGTATTTCTTTTCGCCCTGGGCTAGCGGCTGATGATCCGCTATATTTTGCACTGTATGCCAGCCAGCCCTGTCGGCGCATGGTATCATCATCGGGTGAACGACCACCGCATTCGTGATACACATCCCCATAAAGGTCTCCTAATCGGCACATCATCGCCAGACGTCTCAGTCCGTTGAACATCATGTCTCAAAGTCACAACTTTCTGGGCCTACGGTGCTATCACTCAACTTGAACTTGAGGAATGACTGATTCTAGTCGCTTGTACAGTATATTCAATTGAGGCAGAAAACAAAAATATACGTCTTAAATTTATTTTTCAAGGAGAAATTTGAGGCATCCGACGCTTATCACGTACGTAAATCACCGTAAACAAGCCTTTCTGAAGGGTGCGGCGGCAAGTCTCAAAAAAAGAAAACCGAAAAGAATAAAAAAATAAACAATAAAAATCACTGTCTCACATACATAAGGAGTAGCTAGCCACAACCGACCTCACTATTGGCTGATATGACTCAGGTCTGCGCCCAGGCTATCAGATAATCGCGTAAATCCTCATCATTCATACGCGCAATTGCTTCCCGATCATGTGCTGAGATTATTGAGAACCTGGCAATAAGAGCATTCGTGTACGCTATATCACCCCTCTGAAATGCCCTGAGCCGTTGTTCCCAAAGCGGCATAGGATTACCGTCACGAGAAAGCTCGTTTTGGCCAATCGCTGTTTGACATTCACACTGTACTTATCAGCTAGAATATAAATCAAGGAACGGAGGTAAACATACGCAATACGTATATGAAGGTGCCTGGACACATTCTTTGCAAATGACATGAGTGCACTTAGTACATGAGGACGTCAGGTATGCTGTCATATCTAGGGTTTCTAGAAGTCCTGAGACATTTTGGATATGCTGGCAACACTTTATGCTCATGATTAGTATACATTAACAATTCTGCGATGGTTAAGGGACAACCATAAGCCTACCAATTTTACATAAGGATACATTCGCTTGCAATTGGGGCAAATCGAATATTCACAGCCAGGATACTCGCAAGGCCTTCCATTAAGACCTTCATTGTATTCAGGCTGTTGCGCTTGGTTGCTCATGTTGAATAACCTAGATATTGTAAAGCATGGACTATTGGAACGAGGTTAGAAGCTCGATTAGTAGAGTGCATATCTGCCAATTTATAATAAGACGCTGCTGGCCTGGGGTTGTAGAAGATAGTTTTGTATCACCCTTGATCATATTTACGATGCTCACAGTGACGTCATCGCAGGACTCTATCGTCAAATGAGCGTTCAACATTACTTGAGTATAATACGTGGCTCGGTGCATATATGTGTTGTATGAAGATATTAGATATCGAAGGGAGGCGGTGTGTATGGAGGCGGAGTGCATGCATTAGGGCGGAGTGCATTAATTTGCGGCTGAATACATATATGTCGAATGAAGATATGTGATATTGAAGGGAGGCAGTGTTCGAGCCTATGCATGCCCCCACCTCCTAGCAAGGCTGCGTGAAGAGAGGGGTATGTAAAATCCTCGGGATATATCAAGTATACTCATATCGTATGCTCTATTATGAACTTTGGACAAAGAAAGGTACCTTACGAAAAATGACTACAATTTCAGAGTACGACAAATCACCCTCTTACGAAAAGCAACTGAACGAGGCTCTTAATGTGGGCGACCACCATAAGACCCGGGCGTCTATTATTGACATAAGATCTCAAGAAACCCCCAAATTCCTTCACCAGTTTACCACGGCCGACAAATTGAGACAGATGATAGAGCAACCTGTCTCTCAGCCACGATATCTTGCTATTATCGTCGAAAATATTTCACGAGATTTCGTAAACATTCTGCAGGAAAGGTTCAACGTGCCGGTTGAATTTTTTGTGGAGCATGCGCGCGACTGCGTTGGCCAAACTCTCAAGGTACCACAGTGCCCCGTCTCAGCACTCGGTAATACGCAGCTGTTCTCCATCCAAGGGGCAACCTACTGCGATAATGCAACTATAAAAGTTCTATATAATTGCCAGGAGTCAATACAGAGTTTCGTCTCACGGGGACGGAAGCATTATTTTCGCCGCAATACTCGTCTCAGTTGGGACCGTCGAAGTTTCCAGCTCAATATCCGGACAACCGTCTATACTACACGCTCCAAAGAGGGTGGTATTGTTGGTAGGTCCCCAATGATCATTTGAGTACCCTTCTCTAAGATGTTTTAAAGCGATCTACTTGGTGGATCCTAACCTAGGACCTCTGCAAGCTGTCGGGCAGCCTCATGTCTCCCAATGTCCTCCGCCATGTGGATTTGACCCCGACTCACCACTTGGTCGGGCAGCAAAACTGGTGCCAGTCCAACAAGATCTTTATACGGCCTTCACACAATACCTATCCAACGATTCACTTTCTTATGAGCAATGCGCTCTATCGCCCCTTCTTCCAACTGTATTTTTATTCCTTCACCATTCTATGTTGTGGCAGGAATTGCTGGCACGTCTTCGGGTGACCATTGAACGACTGTGCTTTGCCACTCTGCATCGCAACCCGAGTCTTCATATAGGAAACAGACTTCACGAAATGCGCGAGCATATCTCATATGCACAACAATCCATTGGGAGCACTATCAGAGTTCTCAATTCAATACGTCAGCGGACCTTACTTGAGGAGCACAAATGTAAGCGTCTAGGAAACTAAGTTATTACCCTGGTTAATCCTCTTTAAAATAGGCACTTTCCATTGTCTCCTCCTCGCAAATGAGGACATGGCGAGAGAGCTTGAATCTCTTCGCGTCTTGATTATGGAATCTTTCACTGTGCTGATGAGTACTTTATCTATCAAAGACTCACAATTGGCTGTTGTCAATAGCAAGCTAGGCATCCGTCAAAACCAGAACGCCTTGCAACAGGGATCTTCCGTCAAGTTATTAACACAACTCGCGTTTGCGTATTTACCCGCAACCCTGGCTTGTAGTGTATTTTCCATGGATATACAAGAGCTCAATAACAACGGTCAGAAAATTTGGGAGTTTTTTATTGTCTTGATCGCTCTAGGATGCCTTTCTGGTGGATTAATTTGGGCGGGGAAAAATGGCGACAAAATCCGATTGAGGATCAACAAGAAAGCTGGTAATGAAGAAATCAATCATTCAGTGGAAACCATACCTGAGCACATGGATGTATGTTGAAGTGTGCACATGGAAGATCTATCTATGGAATTAGTATACAGTATAGGTGGGGCCGGCTCAGCAACTTCCACACGAAGTCCGTGCAAGTGCAGTCTTTTCAGCGATGAAAGGGGCTGCCTTTGTGACTTGAAGCACCTTGATCTCGAAGTTGGGCCTGGTTTTCGATGGTCCAATGGTGGGAAGTCCACGGTCACTGGTGGGTCCGATCAATCGAAATAAAAAGGGTATGCTTGCTGGTGGCCGGGTCCAGGCGAAGCATAGGCAGCCGTTTATGGGAAAAGGAATATCCGGATTTGATGCTGAAGCCAAGATATCCGATTCTGGACTCACCTGGGCTGTTAAAGCATTTTTCAACTGGACTATCAACTAGCCATATTTCCTGCGGCGCGATGCTTAAATTCATTACGTTTTGATTTCCCTGCTATAATACTCCTCTCAAAGTAGTATGTACCTTACCTTCCGATGGACCTATGTGCTTCACTTTTGGCTATTCTCAACCCCTCTACAAAACTCCAATCGGTTGTGAACCCCTATATAATCTGCAGGTAAGTAAGTTGTTTTAAGCCACTATTCCGCGATATCTGGAACCGAGTAACCCCCCAGATTTTCACTTGCGGGTTGGAATGATTGAGGAGACTTGAAAGCTCACCAGGTTCTTGAGGCACCTCCCTCCCATGCTGTTGAGTTTAACTTATGTGTAGTACTTTTTAAAAAAATTTCGCCTTTGCTTTGCATCATCATACACCTACAAGGTATAGCAGGGTATTTCAAGGAAAGCATAAAATGTATTGATATTGACAGTGGAGTTTGATATCCGAAGGCTTTATGTACCTATGGGGGCTACATGGGAAATCTCAGAAGATGGAGTCGCAACCACCAGGACCTAGTGGAAATTGCAAACCTTTTAAAATCATCCCTAGCCCTTTCGCAACCTCTTACCCCACCGACAAGAAACTCCGGTATTTTAGGAAAAGGCTACACCATACATTCTTCTGGAAAAGACACCCTGTTGACAGTAATACAATGGACTGTGCTGCAATCTGCACACGTGGGTTGTTGTGGGAGATTTTGAGGAGAGCCATGCCGGGGGTGGTGATGGGGGTGGGAGTGACCTAGTGGACGACTCCGGCGAATCTGCGTGCATATGATGCATTTTGCTATAACGGTCCGACGATCTTCCCGACCTTCTCTCGTCTGATAAATGTGAAGTCAGTTCCGAAAGGGTGCAAGCCACTTGAGTGGTTTGATGGGTTCCGATACGGGGGACAAGGAATAAAGAAAGAATATTTTCGCTGCTTGTCTGCATTCTATGAATCCTGCGAAGTTTGTTTTACTTGGCTTATTAGCTTGTTGTGGGTGCGAGTCTCTGCAGGGTAGCATTCCGCATGGAAATAAGAGCAAAATTAGCACAAATGCATTTTCATTGGCAAATTTGAGGGCTTGCAGTCGAGATTCGGGGTCTTTTCCATGATAGTAATTTGCTCGCGTGGTGAAGGCACGAAAAGTAAACAGGTATACAGAAGTGAGTTTGAGAGGAATGCAGTCGAATTTTTCATGACTCATCGATCGAAATGTCAAAATAATTACGATGGAGTTCTATTCCGGTAACTCTATAGTCACCAGGAGACCAGGCGTCATATGAGCTGGATTCTCAGTCTGCCTCTCTCCCAGCCCAATCATTTTGGGTCTAGAACAATCTTGAGATAGCCTAGAGGCGATTAGGGGTGCGAAGGGTGGTTCTCAGTCAGTCACCCCTGCTGTCCCAGCTCACTGAGGACTGGTGTCATTGGCTTTTTCGCCATGCTAAAAGTGGATCCCCTCCGTAGCCTTTGGTGAAACGCTGGTCCTTCTCTCCTCAGCGAGTCATTCTCCTGCAAAACCTCGCTGTGAAACATCTAAGGTTCGCTGTAGCCTCAGTGATGCGACCATAGTCGAAATGACACGTAAGGGCTCGGGCATTCTGAACCTGCTTGCCATAACTCGCGTAATTTACGACCACAGGCTCACTTACACGTCGCAAACTACCCTGCATTTGCATGCATGAATCACACTTCTGCGTATTGCCCCCTCATGAGGCTCGGCTTGTTTGCCTCAAAGCTGGATGCCAATTTCAAGAATCTTCGAAGAGCCAATGACGCAACTCAACTCGCCCAATTGGACTCAGTACGCATAGCTAGCCTGCTTTACTGGATGTGTCGTTGGAGCCTCATCACGTAACATCATTATTTAAGATCTGAATGCTGTAGACATGCAGCTCCGTTCTACTTTTTGGAAATAGTGTACTTGTTACATGCTACTGCTCACTATGCAGTCTTCCAAATCAACCTTCGAGTCACAGGGTTTGACACAAACCCCACCAGTCAATCCATTTGAGGGCTCGCTCTATACCGAAAATGGTCGGCCAAGTATCATTCATGAGTATTGCTTAAGAGCAGATCGTGAAGGCCGCGAGAAATGCATATGGATCTGTATGAAAAAACGGAATAGGTGGATTGCAAAGGATATGCCCCTTGAGAACGAGGGACGGGTGCTCGGAATCCCGGAGTTGCGCATGCAATGCAGCTGGTGGAAACGACATTCACTTTTTTCGGTCATAGGGGTCAAGGAAGTTATGGTGAGGTAGATGATTTTCTTAAAGAGAGTGAAGCTTTCGTACTGATAAGTCATCTTAGTTTCGATGGGCCAAGTACAACGAAACCACACAAGAGATCTCCGTATTTCTGAAAAAGATGGACTATGATTCCGAAATAAAAAAAATCCAGAAGGCCATTGAAGACCCAGGCCCGAATTCTGATGCCTGGGAATGCGGTGTGAATATACAGGGCGAGAGTCATAGTTCTGGCGATGAGTGCCCTAACTCAATCTGGGATGAAGTGATGGAGGATTTTTACTGCCCTGTTCAGCACTCCCGAGCACTGCGGCTTCGGAAAGACGTCTATGAATGGTTACCTGCAATGGTAGAGTGCTACTGGCAAAATGGAATTAAACCACAGGATGCCGAATTTCTTGAGGCTGGCAGCTTCGTGACCTTTTATCGGTATGGCGTGCTCCCTAATTTCTTGACTTGAGGACATCTAATCATGCGATTATTTTGGACAGAAATCTCGCATGGGATGCTTGGCAAGATGCAGTGAGTCCGTACGGAAAGATAATAAATGGATTTCAGTTAGTTGAAGGCTGGCACATAAAGTATCTATTATGTCTTATCGCGGGTAGTCTTTTACTCAGCGCTAGCGTCGTGGCGGTATCGACTGCTATTCTGGGCAATCTTGAAGCAGGTCTGACGGCAGGCTCATACACACTGGCAATAACAACACTTGGTCTGGCGGTTTTGACATTTCTGAGTGCCATATTTTGAGCTGAATATTGTCGCCTTCATTTACCCATAGTAATGAGAGGCAATCTGCGGAGGACACGATCCCATCTGGCGCATCTGGATTCCCTTGAACGCGAAGAAGTTGTCTCTCTTTTGCTTCCCCGCGCTACTTCTTGTCTCTAGAACAGAGTATAGCTTTATTAAATATTGATCTTTCACCTAGAGCGTATTGTCCACATCTACGTATACGCACGACCCTCAGACACTCAAGCCATTACCCAGCTAGCAAGGTACGCTTGTGTGAAATAGTCACCAGCTATGGCTCCGCCAAGTGTGTCCAAGTAGAAGAATGAAGAAATGGCGCAAGGGCCTCGAAGTTCGGAAAAGTAGAACCTAACGCTTATGTTCGAAGGCTATAGTCCTCCCCGGTATGCCTCCGTAAGTGTATCTCGTATAGAAGGGACAAATCGCAAAAATTATATCTTCGGTCTATTAGGTATAAGCCCCTAAAATACCTCCTTACTCTATTATAGTCGGAGTATACCTTAGGGTATTAGAAGTATACGAATATTAGCTCTATATTCGGGATAGGTTTCCCGCTAGCGGTATATCTTTCTTCCCGCGACGTAGTCGGCGGTATATCGGTCTTTATCTTTCGAGCGGGAGGAGAGGGAACTATATCGTTATCGTCGGATAGTATAGAGCGTTTCCGTCGTCCCCGAAATAGCCTACCCTCCTAAAAGCCGTAATATTATATTCTAGTAGTAATAGCTTTATTACGCTATATCTACTCGTCTTCTAATAAATCGGTAGTAGGCTAAGTAAAGAACGTCTCTATAAAAAGAATCTACTCCGATAGTATTTTAAACTCCTTCTATAATATCTCGCGCGTAGGCCTATTACTAATAGCCCTACTAGTTAGCTATCTTTTAATATTAATTACCGCCTATTTCCGACTAAAATTATAGCGTATTTCTTTCCGCCGTTTATCTTATAGACGCCGGCGTAAATTTAGAACTTAACGCTTCTAGTCCTCTAGTATCGCCTATAATACTAGATTATAAGAGTAGTTACTATACTAGGTCTCTAACTCGAATTACTAGCGTATAGCCGATTATATTTCTAGGTCTCTCTCTACTAAATCCTAGTTAGCGACGCTTAGATATCGTAGTCGCCGCTAATTAATCTAGCGGCTTATCCGGGTAATAGCCTTTAAGAACTCTTTATCCGGATCGAGGCTATATATAATCTCTTATAAGCTAGTATACCGATAGGGGTAATAATATTTAATAAACGTTCTACTAGTAGCGTAGGCTATAATTACGTTACGCTATACTTTACTAATAAAACCTAGATAAGAGACTTAGTCTTTAAGAAAGCTAGAACCTTAGGAATAATAGACGACTTATCGCTTTTATTAAGTAAATTACCTCTATATCGAAATTAGTAGGAGAAAAAATAATTAAAAAAGCCGTATATCTTACTAGATATCCTAAGCTATACGTCGAATATACTACTATTTATAGGCGTCTTCTATAAAATATAGGGCTAGCTATATATTACCTTAACCTTCGGGAAGATATAGTAATTATCTATCTTTTTCTTTAGGGGAAGTAGTATTTTCTATCGGCCGCCCTTAATAAGTAGTTTCCGAAGGTCTTCTATTAAGGCTAAGTAAAGCGCTTTAAAGGCGTAGATATAAAATAATATAATAAAGAGTAGAATATATAGGCTAAAGATAAGCGATATACTATAGACAATTTCGGGTAACGTAAACGTATTACTAATTAATATTAACTAGTTAGTCTAAGTATAGTAAATAAGCCCTAAGGTAGGTAGGTATATAGGATAAGGTACTACCTATAGCTTCGATATACCTAGGACGCTTTTTATAAACTAGGGCTCGAGTTCTATTATCGGCTTCGGAGGTCCTCCGTACGGATCCTACTAAAGCGATATTTATAGATACTTAAACTAAATGTCGAACAATAAAGGACCAAAAATGACTTGATACTATGAACTTACTCTACCCGAGCAAGTGGTAAAATGAGTATGTATTTCTAAAGAGCAATATACTTAACTATATAACCCCTGAATTGCTTACTTAGATATAGCAAGTAATTTGGGAAGTGATCTATAGGGGGATCCTATATATAAGAAGTGAAGTTATATAAATAACGGGACGGAGGAAGGGTAATTCCGGCTGATATACCCCCCTAGGAGCTACCTTATAGGTTCTCTAGTATTATAAACTTAGCTTTCTTATATAAGTTGTTCTATCACTAAGTACTATATATTGACTAGCCTAAGAGCTTTAACAAATACCTTATAAGATTAAGTCGTAAGAAGTTTAGTAAGTCTATCTACCTATATCTAAGTAGTAGGAACCTAACGAATTGAAAAATAGCCGGTATCTACTTCCTAGCGTAGCTAGTAGTTATAAATATCGATATAACGAAGCTTCGTACGAAGCTATAGTTATTCCTTAGTAAGTAAATCAACTATCTATTAGTTATTATAGTTAATTAATAATCCTATATTATAGTTAAGTCCGACTATATAAAGAAGCCTCTTCTACTATATTACTAACTTACTAGCTTCTAAAATAGTAAGTAGCTCCGCCTCTATTATCGACGTTATAACGGTTCTTTACTTACTTACTTTCTAGTCGATTATAGTATCGAAAAGCTTATAGAGGAAGCCTTCCGAGCTTTTACGATTAATATAGTCCCCGAAGGAAGTATTACTTAAGAAATAGAGCGTAGATATATAATATATTAGATAGTATTCGAGAGCGAGGAATCGAGTATTATATAAATACTAGATTAAGCGATTTACTACCTCTCTATACTCTAGCCCTAGATTCGTAAGGAACTCGGCTAAGTAGTTAGCCGCTTTCGCTACGTCTAAGCGAGTAATAATAGTAGGGTAGAGAGTAAAACCGAGCTTTTATTAGTATTTATAAACCTACTCCTTAGTTACTACTCCGGTAAACTTATTTATATAGCTTATAGGTAGTAGGATTTTATACTTACGTCTACTAATAAGTCTATACTTAGCGGCTATAGAAAAGATATATAAATCCTAGTAGAGCTAGAGCCTATACTTTTAGGTATCTTAGAGAATCTATATTCCGAGAAACTAAGCTACTTCTCCTATTTCGCGAAGCTCCTAGTACCTCTCTAGATATTACTTTAGCTAGATTACTTCCTAGTACTTTAGCCGGTAAAATACTATAATAATATCGTCGACGTAGAAAAAGATAATTATATTATTATTAGTAAATAAGTAAGGATCCTCCGGAATAGGTTTAAATCCGAGCTTTTCGAGTACGCGAGTAGCCTCTTATTACTATAAGCGCGGTAACTTTCTAAGACCGTAAAGTACTTTTAGTAGTCTCTAAATATTACTTCTATTATAAAAGCCTTCTAGTATTCGGGTATAAATAGTATCGTTTAGATTACTATTTAGGAATATATTAATAGTATTAAGTTAAATAGTACCTAGGTTAAATACTATAACGAGTATAAAGATCGCTCGCGTAATATAAGTAGTAAGTATTACTACTCTCTTTTTTTTAGAGTTAATAGTTTAGAGATTACTTTATATATAAATTTATATCTTAAGTTTTATTAGGAAGCCGTTATTATCGAATTTATAGGTAAATACCTAAATAAGAGGAAGTACCTATATACTTCTATCTTATAGTCGGGGTTCTACTTAATAGATTCCCCTAATTCGAATTAATTCTACCTCTAAATCTACTATAGCGAGAAAATCTTTAGAGAATAGGTAGTTTAATATCTCCTTCTATATCGATAGTTTAGAAGGAAGATTATTATAGTATCGGTAAGGCTAAGGTCGACTTATAGAAAGTCCTACTATAAATATAATAAGTAGGGCTTTATAGTCTTCGGTATCGTTATATACGAAGTAGCTTATTATATTTATATAAGTATATATCTTTCGCTTTCTCTTACCTTCGATAATATTAGATAGAATTAAATCTCTATAAATTAAGCTCTTTACTAGACGCTAGATTTCCTAAGTAAGTATTACTTATACTTATAGGAAGGACCTAGGGATTTACTATTATAGCGAGTTAGAAGCCTATACTTCTTCTTAGTAGTCTATCTCGTAGACTAATAGTCGAATCGGCCTAGTAAGTATTACTTCGGGCCTAATTGTCTACCTTTATAGTTTATATAGAATAATTACTATAAAAGACTTATTCTCTAGTATAATAGGTTTATACGGAACTACTATTAATAGTATTATAATTAGAGATATTTCCTTATTTTCTAGTAATAGGATCTCTACTAGTTATAGACTTTATAGAGCGCTTTCTAGTAAAGGTATAATACTTAGTAATAGCGATAGAGTTATCTAATAGTATTATACTTATTATTTAGGGGAAGAGGGCTTTTCTTCGTATCGAATAGTTACTTATCGATTCTCTAATTCTTATAGTAAAGTAGGTTCTACTTCTAGATTAAGTACTTATTATATATTAAGTACCTATACTTCCTTATTCTATATAATAGATATAATATTAGCTTAGCGAACTATTTACTTAAGCTCTACGTCGAGTTTATCTTCTTTAATAATTTCGGCGTATTCGACTTACCGGATCTTAGGAGGCTTAGAAGGATACTTCCTATAATTTAGGTTTTTATTAAATATAGCGTTACGAACGTACTTATAACTATTTATATATAAGAACTAAACCTTTTAGATATTACTTACTTAGTA